CCTTGTTTCCGCATGGGTCATAGAGCCGGTACGCCTTGTTACCCTCTGCGTAGCCCAGGAACACCACTAGTGTGCTCCTGTCCTCTAGCTTAGTGAGGTTCGACTTTGTCTTCCTGACGTGGCCGATGCAGCCGAATGTCCAAAGGAAGGACACGCTTGGCTTGCGCCCATACCAAGCTTCGAACGGCGTCTTGCTCGTTAGGGATTTGGTCGAAGCGTTGTTGATGATGAACATCGCCGTGATCACCGCCTCACCCCAGAACCTTGCAGGCATGCCTTTGGCCTTCATCATGGATCGAGCCATGCCGACCACCGTCTGGCTCCTTCGCTCCACCACACCATTCTGTTGTGGCGAGTACGACATAGTGTGGTGTCACACCACACCCTGATCCTCGTAGTACGTAGCGAACTCCACCGAAGTGAATTCATCGTCGCCATTAGTTCTCAGCGTGCGGAGCTTCTTGCCGCTCTCGACCTCTGCGCGCATCTTGAACTTCTTGATCGCCGCCGCCGCTTCGTCCTTGCTCATCAGGAGTTGCAGCCACATGTAGCGACTACAATCATCCATGAGCAGGAGGAAGTGTCGTCGACCACCGTTTGTAGCTAGCGTGATCGGCTGCAGAGGTTGCCGTGGACGAGCTCAAGAGCGTCCTTTACGTGATACTTGGCCGCCGTTGGGAACGGTAGCCTCCTCTGCTTCCCGGCCAGGCAGCTGTCACATAGCTCGCCTCCGTGCTTGATGTGGGGTAGCCCTCGGACCATCTTCTCCAGCCGACCAAGCGTGTCGAAGTTGAGATGTCCGAACCGGGCATGCCACAGCCATGGTTCCTCGGTGTGCCTTGTCGCCAGACACACCGGCTGATCTACCTTCAGGTCGAGCAGGTACAACCAGTTCAGAGACCTCTTCACCTTGGCAAGAAGTCGTTGCTCCCGGTCCCTGATCCTAAGGACTCCGTCCTTGATTAATACCTCGCTACCGCGCTCATCCAGCTGACCAATGCTGATGATACTTGCACACAGCTGCGGGATGTAATATACATCCATTAGCGCGTGGTGCTCCCCATTCTGACACCTGAATATGATGGTGCCGCGCCCTTGGATTGCCACCCTTGAGCCGTCACCAAACTTCACCATACCGGTAACATCGTCGTCAAGCTTAGAGAAGGCTTCCTTGGAGCCCGTCATGTGGTTGCTGGCAGCAGAGTCCAGGTACCACCGCTACTCCTGGTCGGCGCCCACACGTCCGAGGTGGACTTGGGCGCGCAGTTCGTCGAGGTTGACAGCTTTTAGAGCCTTCCTAGGCCCTTCCACCGCCATCACCTCTACCTTCTCCTCGGCCTCGACGTCGTGCAGTGCACAGAACGTCACCATCAGGATAGTGGCCTCATCCTCATCATCGGCTTGCGCCAGATGAGCCTCAGCCTTCTTCTCCTGCTTACGATTTGGGCACTCCCGTGCCCAATGGCCTATCTTCCTGCAGCGCCGGTAGGCGTTGGGGTAAACATGTTTCTTCTTCTCTGAAGAAGCCTTGCCGCGGCGCTTGCCATCGCCACCGCGGCTGGAGGAGGCTACCTTCTCGGAGTTCCTCCGAGCAGCCCACTCCTCTTCTATCAACATCAGTTTGCCGCTATCATTCGTTGCTGTTGCCTGCTCCAGGCGCTCGTCCACCGCCCGTAGATGGCCTATCACATCCTCAAATGTGAGGGTGGACAAGTCCAGCATCATCTCTATGGAGAGAGCGATCTAGATGTACTTTGCCTGCACGAGAGTGGAGGTACTTGGAGACCGCATCCTCTTCATCGATGGTGACGCCGTGGCTCTTCAGCTTGCTGATGAGCGTCTGAAAGGAGGGAGAAGTCCTCCACCGTTTCACCATCCTTGAACTTGAGGTTGGCGTACTCCTGCTTTAGAAGCTAGGCCGTCACCTTCTTTGCGCGGTTGGAACCAACGTGCATTGCCGCAATAGCCTCCCACGCCTCCTTAGCAGAGCTCTTCACCCCCAACGGCTTCCTATACTCCACCGATACAGCAGCTAGGATATACTCCAACGCTGACATGTTATCTTCTTCATTGTCGGTGCCTTTGTCAACAGCATTCCAGAGCCGTTGGGCTCTGAGCTTGACCTTCATGGTCACCGACCACTCTCCATAGTTGGTGCGAGTCAGCATTGGCCAACTGGTGCCACTGACCTCCCACACCGTGCGAACAACGACCTCCGGTCGTGGCTGGGCAGCCACAGCAGTGCCACTGCTGTCACCCATCTCCGAACCGTTTGTCATCGCTTGTTAGCCCATAGGATCACCGACTCAGGTGAGTCGACCGCTCACCAGTCTTGCCGACCATGGCCGAGCACGACCGAGGTTGTCCGACCACACACTATGACTAGAGGTAGAAGAAGAAGGGAGAACAGGGCATACACACACAGTACAAGCACCAGCGTTGGCCGGAGCCCTATATAGGAGATGGCAAATCTGAACTCTCTTTGTTGAGTTGCAGTGGCAAACTATATATACAACTCTATCCATCAAGTCCTAGTACAGCTACCCTACTGTAACAGTGACTAGATAACAAAGCAGGACTGACTTCTGCGCCTGTCCCTGCATGTGGCTACAGTCCGGCAAGTGAGCCATTCGGCGTCTGCCTCCACAACGTCTACAATACCACAGCAGGGAGCCTTTTGGATGCCGCCATGCCTTACTGTGTGTTCACACAAGGAAGTAGTAGATTATCTAACAGTAGCAACTAGCAACTAATAGACGATTTTTTCAGGTGACAGAGAACATCAATACCCAGACACATCAACTTATAGATCCTCGATCAAAACCTAGGTATGTAACTCATATTCTAATTCTTAAGTCTATGAGTACATCTTACATGCATGCAGTTGCAGTATATACAGCCTCTGCCTGTATCCATATCGCAAGAATGAGAATATAGTTAGCATATATATTTGCTGAGAACTCAGTCTAGCTTTTGCATTTTGATACTTAAGTATCTTTTAAGCAGTACACCATAGTAACACTAATACAGTTATGCTATAGAATATAGATATGTTTTTGTAATTCAATTGTATTTTGATGCACAAGTATATTTTAACCAGTACATAAACCTCATACTAACACTAATGCAGTAATGTTGTAGATATGCTTTGGTAATTCAAGTTTTGTACCTTTTCTACTTGTTTAATGCTCAACAGCCTGACATTTTCATATTACCTGATTTGAAACTTCTGTACAGATTTGATGGTGCAGTTCCTGAGCCGCGCAAGGGAATTAGAAGTGGTCATGTGCCTGGGAGCAAATGTGTTCCTTTTCCTCAGGTGGAAATTCTCCACTGCTCCATACTGTGATCAGTTCATTTTTGCATCTGGATGTTTTACCGTGTTTACACTTCACAATGGATGGCAATGGACACTTATCTGATAAATTTCATAGCCGGAGTTAATTTTCAGCATATGATACTTTGCACTTATTCCTCATTTTAACATCATATTTTTCTGCATCCGTCCTTTCATTTTAGTAAGGTGTAAATGTTGTTTTCTAGATTCATTAATTGTCAGCTCAAGTTGGTTGTATGCCAGTGTTATGTCATACTATGATTTGGTTGATTAGGTAGTTAGCATGTTGACATAGTCAGAGATCGTGTTGTTGGTAGATGCATTTGCATTGAAGGCTACTCTTCCTTATACTGATACTTCATCTACCATAACAGGACGGAGAATTGGATGTTCTTTCTGTGCTTGCACTTTCTTTGTACTTGGGCTATATACTCTGTCACTCTGGAACTTGGATAGGTGTTTCAGCTAGAAATTCATATATCATAATCCCTTTTCTCTCCATCCGAGTGTTGCCAAAGATGTTTTTGTATCTCTGGAAGTATTATTTATGTTATTGCTTATTTTTACATGACTTTCTTCAGGTGCTTAACAGTTCACAAAAGCTATTACCTCCAGATGAACTCCGTAAACGATTTGAGCAAGAAGGTAATATTTCATCCATATAGGTTGCAAGTACCTAATTCATGCTCGATGGTAGCATCCAGTAGCCTGGTCTTATCATATTTTATTGGGTGTTTCCTCCCAGTTGTGAAAATATTAAACTCCATATCCAGCATAGCTTCCGCGCCCTTAGAAGCCCTCTTGCTACTGTTGATGTACAGTTGCCCATTGCTATTGTGCTGCGTGTCTTTGCGTAATTGTGAGTTAGTGAAGTTTGCACAACATTTGTTGTATGCTGATTACTGGCAGTAGTGGATGGTGGTGTCCATTTTTATGGTACCTAACATAGAACTGCACTAGCCAAGTTTTAACATTAGCAGTATCTATAATTTTTCTAGTGTGATTCATTATCAGGAATCTCTCTTGATCAACCCCTTGTGACCTCTTGCAGCACTGGCGTGACAGCATGTGTATTAGCCTTGGTAAGATTACCTGGGACTTGCGCTTGGTATTTACTTTACAAAATAGAAGTGCTTCTGTAACCATTGCTTTCATTTTAGGGCCTTCATCACCTTGGCAAAACTGACGTCGCGATATACGATGGATCATGGACCGAATGGGGCGCCCACTCCGACACTCCAGTTGCAACTGCTGTTTAGGCTCATGTATTCTTCATAGAGGAATCAAGATTGTATTTTGCTTCTGTAATCCTATGGAGAAAGGCGATGTTAAAGTTGGAAAAACTGAAGAGGTTGATCGGAGAAATGCTACGTTAAGGTTGGAAACTGAAGAGGTCGGTTGGGTGTGTGGCTGGTGTGAATCGAAGCCTTTTGGCCTTCACTGTAAATGCTGAAACAGAAGAATTGTTACATACACTGAATTATAAGATAACTTCCCTTGGTCTCTTCTCTTGGTGGAATAATAATAATAATGAAGTTTAGAAAAAAAAATAACTGCCGTCAATGTTGGTTTCTGGTATATGTGAGCTAACTATACTTAACATAATGTACATATCTACTTTACATATTCAAAATCGTCGGGGTGCAGAAGCACCGATCTTTGGTCATTTGAGCAGGGTAGATGTCTCTGTCGTGCTTGACCGAGTGGTGCCGGTGCCCGAGCTGCTGCTGCTGCTGCCGCCTGTCGTAACGGAAGATGTGTAGTATAAAGCATCAGGCGGCGGCATGTAGGTTGCCACCGGCATCCTCGCCGGCAGGCTTGGCAGCGGTGCCTCCAGCCGCAGCACGTTGACGGCCTGCCTGATGGACGGCCTCAGGCTCCGGTCAGGGTGCGCGCACCAGAGTCCGACCACCATCACCGTCTCCATCTGCCGGGCGTCGAACTCACCCTTCAGCCGCGTGTCGGCGGCGTCGAGGATGGCTCCTCTGCCGTACCATTCCCAAAGCCACTGCACGACGTGGATCACGTCTTCTTCGCCGTGGCGACGCACCTGGGGCCGCTGGCCGCAGGCGATCTCTAGAAGGACGACGCCAAAGCTGTAGACGTCCGACTCGGCGTTGGCCCTGCCGGTGATCATGCACCCCGGGTCCATGTACCCCATTGTGCCGGCGAGCACCGTGGTGTGCGAGCCCCGGCCGTGGTCGACCAGCCTCGCCAGCCCGAAGTCGCCGAGCTTGGCGTGGAAGCAGGCGTCCAGCATCACGTTGCTGGGCTTGATGTCCCTGTGCACCACGCACTGCTCCCACTCCTCGTGCAGGTACAGCAGCGCCGACCCCAGCCCCAGCACGATCTCGTGCCGGACTGGCCATGGAAGCAGAGCGTCGCCGCTGGCTCTGTACAGGTGTGTGTCGAGGCTGCCGTTGGGCATGAGCTCGTAGACGAGGAGCAGCTCGCCGCCGCCGTGGCACCAGCCGATGAGCTGCACTAGGTTGCGGTGCCTCAGCCGGCTGATGATCCTGACCTCCGCGGCGTACTCCTTCCTCCCCTGCTTCGAGCCCTTCGATACCCTCTTGACGGCGACGTGAAGGTCCATGTCCTTGAGGAATCCTCTATACACGGACCCAAACCCACCTTCTCCAAGCTTCTGCTTGTCCGAGAAGTTGTCGGTGGCAGCGACGAGCTCGCCGTAGCGAAACCGCTTTGGCCCGGTCCCTTTCTCGAACTCGTCCTCCATCTCCAGCTCGTCGCCGCCCTCTTCCAGCTCCCGCTCCATCGTCTGCCAGGCGCGCTTTCGCCGTTGGTGCAGGAGGAACCAGATTGACAAGCATAGAACTATCAAGAAAGAGGCAGCACCGGCGGCAGACAAACCGACCACTAAACCCGTGGAGACCGACGGAGAATCCGTCGGCGGCGGTGGCGCCGTCCGGCGCGGCGGCAGGGTGATGTCGAAGGCGCCGATACTGTACCTGACGTAGCAGCTGTACCCCTTGAGCGCGCCGCCGGTGTTGTTCGGGAACCTCCCCGGCAGCAGAGCGATATACGTGTTGAGGCACCAGCTGCATTCGATGGCCGTCAGGTCCCGCGTGCACTGCGCGAGCCCGTACACCGAGTCCGACGAGCCGGCGAGCGGCGCGCTCTCGTTCGCGACGAACAGCAGCGAGCCGGGGGCCGTCCTGGCGAGCCGGTTCATCAGGCTGGAGCGCGCGTCCTCGAGCCTTGCCTGGTCGACGGTGCTGTGCCAGATGACGTAGAACGCCTCGTCGCGGCTGGCCACGGAGAAGAAGTCGGTGGTCGAGTAGCGGAGCACGCACGCGTCGTACGCCGCGCTCACGTTCCGGCTGCCCGGGCACAGCGCGGTGATCCCGGCGGGCGCGCCGGCGAGGCACTCCATGCACTGCGTCGCGTTGCGGTCGGCGTAGCACATGATGAGGCCGAACACCTGGTCGGCCCCCGTCCCGGCGGTGCCGTTGTAGAACCACCCGTTGTCGCCGGCCGCCGTGGGGAGCGCAGCCAGGAGCTGGTCCAGGTTCTTCTTGTACTGGCTGCCGTCGGTGTAGTTGTCCGTCCTCGAGCAGGACGGATTAAACGACTTCATGATATTGTTGTCCTGCCCCGCTGCCGCAACGAAGATGAAGACAAAGGTGGTGAGGAGGACAAGGAGAAGGCAGTAGCAGGAAGCCATTGCCAGGGACGCTCTTGCAGGCGGATCCACAGTTCAAGCATTCTTGTCATGTGACAAGAATTACTTTGTAAACATCGCTTGTGCAAGAGATGATCCTATGATTTTTGAAAGATTATTATACTCAGTGGCGGATCCAGAGTTCAGGATTCGTTTGGAAGTATCATAAGAGTGGTCAGCAAGGTTTGTAAGCTAATATTACTACTACCTTCTGCTCTGAATGAATGTCTTAGCTAGCTCTAAACTAGTAGCAGTCTAACAGATAGTACTAAATTGTGGCTTTGGACCATGTCAAATATGATTTGGATAATCATATCCATCAACATTGCCGGCCTTCTTTTGGCTTGATTGAATCAAGTTGATTATCATGCCGGCTCCCATCACTACCGTTAATCCGATTTCTTAACCAGAGGACCAGTGGCGGATCTACAGGGTATGCCGTATATGCCACGGCATACCCTGTGATTGAGCCATGCGTGGCATGCGTATTGCACCTCGCGCGCTTGGAACGGGCCATCGCTCGCACGAGTAGATTCACCTGCCTGCCTTACGGTCACCTACGACTCGATAGAAGAGACACATCGCATGCATGCAGGGTCAGCCCACAAATGAATACTCCCTATTGGAAGGACTCGTGGAGTACAGACTACAGTTGCGGCGGTGTTATATTTGTATATATTGAAGCAAGATTGATCAACATTAATATCACGTGAGTGCGAGTTATATTCGTATTGTACTTCATGCAATTTTTCAACTTTGTACTCCTACATCAGCGGTGTAGTTTTGCATGACACGGTCTCCTAAATTATGTTGTAACCATTTATTTATTTTATATTATATTATTGATATTTATGAACTTATGATAATTGAATAGTACATTTAATTACAAATCTAACAGTATCAGAATTTTCCAATTTGCATTATAATAATTCAAATTTGTTAGTCAAATATTGGTCAAAGATATTAAAGTTGGATTCTTGATATACGTGTGCGCCTTATAAAAAATAGAGGAACTAATCTATAAATTGAAGACTTATCATATTTTTTCTTGCTTATATGCCGAATTGAGTAGCAAATTTTTATAACTGTTTACCGAGTTGGTAAATAGATTTTATCGAAATACATGTGAAATTTTGGTATGGCATACCCTTTAACAAAATCCTAGATCCGCCACTGCAGAGGACTAGCCTGGCCCCATGAGATGCCTTAACAGTGATGTTCCCAGGCGATATTTCCGATGACCCCCTAGTTCTTACGAAATCTTTTCAATACGTATTCCTTTTATTTGTAGAATGCCCCCTGGTTTTGATTGCAATCCAAATACTTACATAGCACCTCCTTATATATATTTGTAAAATCTTAACCTTGAAATTTTGGCCAAGGAGCCTCCAGTTAACACGATATAGGTTAGGAAAAAAACTAAATCCTGTAGATTATCACAATATCCATGAACATTTGGTATTTAATTTGATAGACACTAATCACCATGCCGAGCAATAACCATTAGATATTCTATTTTATAAAAAAAATACTCACCTATGCCATTATTAATAAAATAATAGAAAATAGAAGATTGCAACTAAATTACTTACCTCTGCCACTGTGAAAAATAATTTAAAATAACACCCTAAACCTATGTCTAAGTTATGCACCTCTACCATTATGAAAAATAATTTCAAACAACGTAACATAATTTTTTCTATAAGTTACCTACATGTGTTATTATGAAAAATAATGCAAGGTAACCCCTCGGACTCGCGACGACGATTGTTGTCACTGATAGGCCATATAGGAAATCGAGAGAGCTAGAAAAATTATTGGTCAAGTGTGCATTATTCGCTTAACTGATAAGTCATGGCTAAAAATATTATTGGCTGATTTATTGTGTGAGAAAAATACTATGCTGAAAAAATACGATTTATAACCGGCCAGGGCACATGCTGGGGGCGCGGTTTATGTCGAGGTGAGCTCGATAGCTAGCCAAGACTGTACAGAATCATCCTAACTGGTTTACAGCTAGGGCGTCTTCAATGAAAAGAGTGGGTCGGTACTTATTTGGTGCCACGTCATATCCTGCCTGTTAGAAATTTTTATTCAATATCCTCTCTCTCCCCTGGTGTGTGGGTCCCGCTTGTACTCTCGGTCCTCTCTCCAAAAGCAGAGAAAATTGTGCGCAGTGTGGTGCGCGGTGGGACTTTCTCTCTCAAGACTATGGATGAAAATCGGTACGGATATTTAATCGATCGTCACGTTCGACCGAACAAATATGAATACTTATCTGGATAGTTATTCGGATATCCGTAATTTTTTCGGATACGGATACTAAAACGGATATCTTAGGCGGATATCAAATACGGATGTAATATCAACGATATCCGGCGGATATCGGATAATCCGGATAAGTATCGGATATATCCGGATATTTAAAAACGGATATTATCCGGATATTATTCAAACGACCTTGATGGAGAAATGATCAAAATAAAAATTGTAGATCTCAAAAAGTTATGAAACTTTGTTGTTTACAACTTTTTCGTTTGAAATCATTTAGTGCTTCAAAATTTAAACCGTCCAAACTTTCTCAAATGGAAAACTAGTTTATAGGCGTCAAAATTTAAAAATCACAAATTTGAACCATCCAAACTATCTCAAATGGAAAGTTGACCAAAATAACAATTGTAGATCTTGATGAGTTGAACAAACTTGGTATTCAAAACTTTTCAATTTGAAGTCATTTAGAGTTCATATACTAGAGTGAAAGTGTTGTTTTTTCATTTGACCAAATTTGACTTGGTCAAACTTGCTCAAATGAGACACTAAATGACCTCAGATGAAAAAACTCTGAATACCAAGTTTGATCATCTCAGCAAGATCTACAATTGTTACATAACTCATTTTCCCATTTGAGAAAGTTTTATCAAACACTAGTCACAAATTCTTAAATTTCATATAGACTTTCTAAAACTATGTCACACACTTGTGAAATTTGAACTACATTTTATTCAAACTTTCTCAAATGAAAAAATAGCCTATATAAGGATTTTAGATCTTGATGAGCTGAACAAACTTGGTATTCAAAACTTTTCAATTTGAGACAATCTAGGGTTCCGAAAACTAGTTTGTAAGCATCGAAATTTAAAAATCACAAATTTGAACCGTCCAAACTATCTCAAATGGAAAGTTGACCAAAACAAGAATTGTAGATCTTGATGAGTTGAACAAACTTGGTATTCAAAACTTTTCAATTTGAAGTCATTTAGAGTTCATAATACTAGAGTCAAAGTGTTGTTTTTTCATTTGATCAAATTTGACTTGGTCAAACTTGCTCAAATGAGACACTAAATGACCTCAGATGAAAAAACTCTAAATACCAAGTTTGATCATCTCAGCAAGATCTACAATTGTTACATATCTCATTTTCCCATTTGAGAAAGTTTTATCAAACACTAGTCACAAATTCTTGAATCTCATATAGACTTTCTAAAACTATGTCACACACTTGTGAAATTTGAACTACATTTTGTTCAAACTTTCTCAAATGAAAAAATGGCCTATATAAGGATTGTAGATCTTGAATCCATGACCATGACTCCATGAGACCCATGAAGCCATGAGCTTGGCTATTTCTACTCATGCCGCGAAGATTGGTGCTTGTATGATGTTTGATGTATGATGTATCTGTATCTTTATCTTATTTATTGCTTTACTCTTTAGTCTTTCGGGTTAATCTAGATGGATTATGGACTCATAGAGTGGTGTAATGGTTTGCGCACGTATGATATATATATATATATATATATATATATATATATATATATATATATATATATATATATATGCTTTTACTCAATATCCGAATAGATATTTGTATCCGACCTTCTCCGAATCCGATTCATACCGTATTCGATACTCATTATTCGTATCCGTAACCGAGTCAATCCGTATTCGTATATGTATCCGAACGCTATCCGCGTCCGAATCCGAATCCGAACAGAAATATGAAAACAAATATAATATGAGTGATATCCGTTCGTATCCGATCCGTTTTCATCCCTACTCAAGACCCACAAGCTCAACGATGAGTTCGTGTTTTGTGTTGTACTCTATTTTTCAGGTCAAATAGAATTCTGAGTCAGCTAGCTCGGAGATAGACTACTGGGGACACCCTTAGGTAGGTATTTATGTAGACTACTAAATTACACTAGTTGGTAAGAAACTTCTAGCTATTTAGTAACCGATCTACAGCTATATATGAAAATATCATCGCTAGCTAAGAGCAACTACAACAATAGTCTTATACCACTGAGCAGAGAAACGACTTTTGATCCAGCTTAAAATTTGGTTTTAGTCTTAGTATTTTTTGCGCTCGAAACTAGAGAGACATTTAGTCCCGGTTTGTAGCTCCAACCGGGACTAAAGGTCCCTGCTCAACGGCTACTGCGGCAGGCTTTTGCTGCAAGGGACCTTTAGTCCCGGTTGGAGCTACCAACCGGGACTAAAGATTAACTTTTAATCCCGGTTGGTACCTCCAACCGGGAGTAAAAGTCTACTCCCAGCTGGAGGCTCCGTCCGGGACTTAGAAATGGACCTTTAGTCCCGGTTTCTGTCTCCAACCGGGACTACAGTTCCCCTCCTATATAGCCCTTCTTCCTCCCCGAGCCCGAGCCACTTCGAGCTCAGTCATCGTCGGCCTCTCTTCTTCCTCATCGTCGGTAAGCATAAGATTTTCTTCAATTCCTCCGTCGATTCTTCGGTTCTAAAGGTTACCAACTTTATACTCTCATGTTTCATCAGTAGCATATCTCATTTTGTGGACTAGATATATGTGGTTTTTTATGGTGGATTTTTTTTATTTGTAAGCCATTTAACCTCAAAATCACTTTAAAGTTTGCATATTTGGATGAAGAAAGGTTAAAGTGGTTATTCAAAACTAGTATTCAGCTTTTATTTCTAGCATGCATAGCACACTTTATGGTTTAGAGATATAGAGAATTTTAGAGTTTTTTTAATTTTATTTGTTTATAAAATGAGAAATTTATATTATATTAAAAATGAATATAGAGAGTAGATGACAACTGCTTCTGGGTCCTCGGCCTCTCATCGGGTTCCAAAGCGACTGAGGCCGGACCTCCCTCTCATTGCATGCGGTAAGTGTGAGGAGAAGATTGTGATGAAGTACTGGGTGAGGAAGGAGTGTCCCAGTAAAGGCCGTATCTTCTACAAGTGTCCTGATCGCAATGTGAGTTATTTTGTCGCATTTGATGATTATGGTTAATTTATACTTTTTCATGATAATTGTGATTAAAGTTCTAATTTTTTGTTTTAATTTCAGTGGGATGGCACTGGATGGTCAGGTTGGTACTGGGAGGAAGAGTATGTTGAACACGTACAAAACTCTCTTGCACAGGCGGCTACGGTGGCTGATGAGGCAGTGATCCTACGGGAGAAGCCCATAGATGTTGAACAAACGCATGATCTGTCTGTTTTAGTTGGGATTGGTCGCGAAATCCTTATGCTGCTGAAGTGCATTTTAGCTTTAGTTTTTTAGTGGTAGTTGGGATTGTCTACATTATAGCGAGACTTTTTTCATAAATTAATACCTTGTGTGGTGGCATGCATGTCGTATAATTAACTAATTATGTTCTAGGTTTTAATATGGTATGTATGTCATGTAATGCAGATGAACCGGCAATCGATATACAATGTTGATCGCCGCTCCCAAGTGTTCATTGAGGGCGTGCATTATTTCTTATGTGTGGCCGAGGAAAACAAACACGATGGTTTCATGTGCTGCCCATGTGCCATATGTAAGAATTTGAAGGAATATGCTAGCTCAAGGAGTCTTTATTCACACTTGTTGAAGTTGGGTTTCATGCCAAACTATATTTGTTGGACGAAGCATGGAGAAACCAAGGTTGTAATGGAAGAAGGTGAAGAAGAACAATGGGACGATGATGACATTATTGCTGAATATGGTACCTTCAATGATACTACAATGGGGGAAGCTGAAGAAGATGTAGTGGCAGAAGATGAGCCCGCTGATGATCTTGGTCAGGCCATTCGTGACGCACAAAGAGAATGCGAAAGTGAAAAGGAGAAGATCAAGTTCGAGCGCATGCTAGAGGATCACAAGAAATTGCTATACCCAACTTGTGATGCGGGGCAGAAAAAGTTGGGTACCACACTGGAATTGCTGCAATGGAAGGCAAAAAATGGTGTATCTGACAAATATATATCGCCTCATCTTCTTCTCCCCATCCATCGTCTTCATTCTTCGCCCGAGAGCAACCACGCCGCCGCCACTCCCCATAGCCTCCCGCCGCCTCCACGCGCCTCTCCCGTCTCTCACCATCTCCGCCAGCGGCCCAGCTCGTGCCTCTCCCATTCGTGCGCGGCGCCTAGACCCGGATCCGTTGCCATCATCCTCGTCCTCGCCCAGATCTGATTTGGATCCACCGCGGCCTCATCGCAGTTATCGATCCTCATCCTCGTCATCACCAGCTTTGTCCTCGGTTCCACGCGCTCGCAAGCCTCGCCGTGCGCTCGTCGTCCCCTTCACCGGAGCGCTCATCGTCGTCCCCTTTGTCAGAGCGCTCGTCATCATCCCCGTCGCATCCTCGTCGTCGAGAGATCACCTCCGGCCATCCTCATCGTCCTCGTCGTCCTCCACCCTCGTCGTCCTCGTCAGCAACAGTGTGTGTATGAGTGTGTGCACATAGAAAAAATATAGAAAAATTAGATAGATTTTATTTGTAGATTTTATTTGTGTATGAGTGTGTGCTCGGACCGACGGCCATGGAGAGGGAGCAGGGGAACGGGGCGGATGAGTCATAATACAGGTCATTCATTTTATTTGTTCCATAGTTTATTTCCTACAGCAATTGGCGCCACATACTTCACTCTCACGATTTCAAGTAGTCAATATTCATTCTGTTTTATTTTGAACACTTTGACTATTGCAGGTCGAACTGAGGGATGTTGACACTGGAAACAAAATAACAGAAAGATTTCGTACTGATGAGGCCCTTGAGAGTATGATTTGTTTTTCTTTTTCTTACATGAAAGTATAAAACACGACTTTAACAGCTAAGATGTAGCCATACAAGCCTTTATGTTGTAGCCTAACTGCCTCCATGCATGTAACCATCCCCCTACCTGGGCAGTCCTTTCTTCTGATTACAATTTATTGTTCTAGTGTCTTACATAGCAATCATGTGCAAAGCCAATTTTAGGCAGTCTCATAACCTATGGAACATGATTGAGCAAACTAAATTGAATTCATGACTATAATTATGATGTAGAACACGGTATATATTGATCAAGCAGTTGGTAGTCTTAGGACCAATATCTCAACAGCCTCTCCAGAATTTTCTATTGCATAAATGCTGCAATTTGTCGTATATAGTGTACTCAACCTCAAGTCCTCAACTATATTCTAACTTGATAGTCAAGGAAACTTCTTTTCTGGCATGTGGTTCATTCAATGAGCACATCTGAGAACTATTGAATATAGCCTGGTTTGTAGTCCACTGATGCGGACTTTCATTGTGCCAATACTAGGTCTCTGCTTGACATATGAAAATCAGTCAGCCATGAAGAGGGAAGACACAAAATGGCAAGCAGAAAGGGATGTTTGGTGGCAGGTGCTCCTAAATGAAAACTTGTTATTATATACAGTAGTCATCCTATATTTCAAGGCACGCGCATATCTACTGTGAATAACATTGCTAGATTGTTATAATTTGTTGCACAATATCTTTCAGGATGTCGTGACCAAATTTCCAACCAAATGTGATGTGGAATGGGTGGATGCAGAGGATCCATTGTTCCTTTTGTACAAAAGTGGCAGCACAGGGAAGCCAAAGGTACTTCTAAGTTCTAACTGAGCTGTATTCAGCAGCTATTGCATTAGCTGGATATTTATCTCTCTTGTTGTATGTAGGGTGTGTTGCATACTTCTGGGGGCTACATGGTGTACACTGCAATAACCTTTAAGTACGCATTTGACTACAAGCCAACTGACATATACGGGTAGGTGGTAGCACATAAGCTCTTATGTTTTTTAGCATGTACCCTCATTCCTTTGTGGGGAATTATTCGTAGAAGCTGCTATTTCCTTATCCACCCCCATTGTTTTGTTTGCATCAGGTGCACTGCAGACTGTGGTTGGATTACTGGACATAGTTATGTAACATATGGTCCTCTCCTGAATAGTGCTACGGTTCTCGTTTTTGAAGGGGTATGTTTATTAAAGATTTTTAACCAATGTGTAAATTGAATTGTGGTATCTGATAATAAAACCAAACTATCTGGTTTGATAGTTTTCTTCTCATTTCTTTTGTTGAACTTGTCTTCTTGTCTGGCAACTTATAGTAGTTCATTCTTCGCAACACCAAAGTCTAGTATTATTGTTTGAACAATGCTTGGCTGCTTGTATTTGTTTTGGTGTATTCATTGGATGTTTTCTATTATCCGTTTTCAGTCTGCTTTAGTGCTACATTGACCAGATGTGTGACTGCAACTCGGCAAGTGGAAGGATTATTAGAAGCTTCTGATTTTGTGATGTTCGATTGCTAGATCTGAGCGCCATTGATTTTGTTATTCTGTGGTCTTTCACATAAAAATCATAGTCACCATAAAATGTTATTACGATTACTGGAAAGTTTAATAGATAAAATTTGTTGTTTTATTTATCTGGACTAAACTATCCACCTAAAAGTCATGGAATATTTGTTATAATCTGATATCAATAAATGTGTATTGTCATTGAGTTTTAGTACAATCGCAAAAGAAGATAAGTCATGATGGAGTTGTGCATGAAAAATATATGTTCTGGTCGAATTTGAATTGTGAATTTGAATTTTTTTTACGGAAAATTTTACTGTACGGGCGGTTCTAGACTGAACCGCTAAAAGCTCTAGTTTGGTTTTGGTGAATTGATGAAACCCTAAGTGCTAACCTAGTTTATCAAGTGATCATGAGATAGGTAGCACACTCCAAGTGGTGAAGCAAATGAAGATCATAACATGACGATGGTGATGCCATGGTGATGATCAAGTGCTCGGACTTGGAAAGAAGAAAGAGAAAAACAAAAAGCTCAAGGCAAAGGTATAAAGTGTAGGAGCTATTTTGTTTTGGTGATCAAGACACTTAGAGAGTGTGATCACATTTAGGATCGATAGTCGTACTATTAAGAGGGTTGAAACTCGTATCGAAATGCGGTTATCAAAGTGCCACTAGATGCTCTAACTCATTGCATATGCATTTAGGATCTAGTGAAGTGCTAACACCCTTGAAAATGCTTGTGAAAATATGCTAACACATTTGCACAAGGTGATACACTTGGTGGTTGGCACATTTGATCAAGGGTGGTGAAGTTTAGGTGCAAGGGTAAGAAACTCCACCAGCGCCCTAGACAGAAAGGACGGAGGTCACTGGGTGTGATCGGACGCTGGCCTCGGTTGGACCGGCGCGTCCGATCAGGTGTAACAGCGAAGACGCTGGCGTCGGTCAAACGACCGGACGATGGGTCGCTCTGCGACCGGACGCTGGCAGGGTGCGTCCGGTCAGTGCTGACGTACGCTGACGTAGGGCGTATAGAGGAGACATTGTGTGACCGGACGCTGGCTGTGTCCGGTCAAGCATGACTGGACGCGTCCGGTCGGAAAAATCACGTTTGGAACCTTACTGGAAACGACCGGACGCTGAAGTCCAGCGTCCGGTCACTTTCTAACTGACGCATCCGGTCAGCAGACGACCGTTGAAATCTAACGAACATTATTTGAAGCAGGGGACACGTGGCGTGAATCACGTGACCGGACGCTGAGGGCCAGCGTCCGGTCGATCGGACCAGAGCGTCCGGTCACCCCACGTTTTACCCAGTGAAGGGGTACAACGGCTCTATTTCGTGGGGGCTTCTATTTAAGCCCCATGGCCGGCTCAAGCTCACTCTCTTGGCCATTTGCATTGACATAGCAACCTTGTGAGCTTAGCCAAAGCCCTCCCACTCATCTCCATCATTGATTCATCATCTTTGTGAGATTGGTAGAGAATCTAAGTGCATTGCTTGAGTGTTTGCATCTAGAGGCACTTGGTGTTCGTGTTTTGCTGCGGGATTCGCTTGTTACTCTTGGTGGTTGCCGCCACCTAGACGGCTTGGAGCAGCGAGGATCGTCGAGCGGAGGGTGGTAATTGTCTCCGGCTCCGATCGTGGTGATTGTGAGGGGTTCTTGACCTTTCCCCGGTGGAGTGCCAAAAGGTACTCTAATGGATTGCTCGTGGCTTGTGTGATCCTCATCTTGTGTTGATTGTGCGGCACCCTATCGAGGGTTTGACGTGTGATGCCAATTAGCGCGTGAACCTCCAAGTGAGTGAATCACCACAACGAGGACTAGCTTGCCGGCAAGCAAGTGAACCTCGGTAAAAATTCATTGTGTTCATCCTTTGATTCCGAGGTGATTGGTCTTCATTGTTATTTACTCTTGTGATTGATTGGTTCCTTTATCTACACGGCGGTATAACTTTCTTGATCACTCTCTTTACCTTACCGCAAACTAGTTGTCAAGCTCTTTAGTGTAGCTAGTTGTGAGAGCTTGCTTGCTTGGTTGGTGTGGCTCTTTAGTTAGCCTTTGAGAGCACACTAACATAGGGTAGTGTCAAAGCTATTGTGTGAATAGATACTATCTAAACTAGAATTGTGGTAGGTGGCTTGCATTTTGAGTAGGCTAGCGCAACACTTGCTTCGCCTCATAATTGTCTAACCCTTTTGTTAAGTGTTGTTGTAGAAATTTTTATTAGGCTATTCACCCCTCCTCTAGCCATTAGGACCTTTCAAGTGGTATCAGAGCCGAGGTCACCGTGATTTGAGGCTTAACAACATTCGGTGTAAAAATGGCTCAAATCAACAACATAAAGAAGCCACCCCAATTTGATGGCTCAAATTATCCCTATTGGAAGGCTAAGATGACAACATATATCAAGTCAATCAATAGGAAGATTTGGAAAGTGGTAGAAACGAAGATTGAGATAGAAGATGAAGAGGCTCCCACCGCCGCCGAAGAATTGCTACTCCAAAACAATGACATTGCTCTTAGTGCCATCCATGATGCTTTGGATGAGAGAATATTTCAGCAAATCAAGAACATTGAGAGAGCTCATGAGGCATGGAAGAAATTGGAAGAATCATTTGAGGGCACCAAGGCAATCAAGGGTGCAAAGGCATACATTCTCAAGGATAAATTTGCTAGTTTCAAGATGAAGGAAGATGAGAGTGTGCCGGACATGTTCCATCGGATGGAAGTGATTGTAAATGATCTCAAGGCATTTGGTGAGAAGATAGAGGACAAGGAATTCTCAAATAAGTTCTTGAGATGCTTACCCTCAAGATTTGGTGCATTGGTCACTATTCTAGTGAGGTCCGGTTTGGATACAATGACACCAAATCAAATATTAGGAGATATCATGACCGATGATGCTTATAGAGATGATGATGAGAAGGAAAAAAAGAGGGAGAAGAAAGATGACAAGAAGGATGACAAGAAGAAGAGCGTGGCATTCAAAGCCACATCATCCAAGGGAAAAGCCAAGCAAGAAACATCAAGTGAAGATGATGATTCATGGGATGATGATGATGATGAGAAGATGGCTCTCTTTGTCAAGAGATTTGGCAAGTTCATGGTGAAGAAGGGCTACCGTGCTAGAAGAAAGAAGTCTTCATCCAAGAACAAAGAAGAGTCAAGAAGGTGGTTCAAGTGTGGAAGCAAAGATCATCTTGTTGCCCAATGTCCATACAATAGCGACAATGATGATGACAACAAGAAGAAGAAGAAGGACAAGAAGGAAAAGAAAGAGAAGAAGGACAAGATGGCCTTCAAGAAGAAGAAGGGTGGTTCATATGTGGTCACTTGGGATAGTGATGCTTCCTCAAGTGATGATGATGATGATAGTGATGATCACAAGACCACAAAGAAGAAGGTTCTAGCAAGCATTGCCATCAATGAAAAGCCTTCTCTCTTCGACTCTTCATCATGCTTCATGGCTAAGGCCACTAAGGTACAAACTTGTGATGAGGAAAGTGATGAAGAACATGATGATGATAATGAAAATGAAAATGAAAATGATAGTGATAGTGATGATGATGAACCTATTAAGAATGAACTAATTGACATGCTAGAAGATGCTAGAGAACACTTTGACATCAAGAGAAGGGAATGCAAAAGCTTGCGTAAGGAACTAAAAGCCCTTAAGCAAGCCTTTGATGAGCTCAATGCATCTCATGAGAGGCTAGAGGAAGCCAATGAGAAGCTTGGCAAAGCTCACAAAAAGCTTGACAAGGCTCATTCCTCTTTGCTTGATGAGCAAAATAAAAAGAAGCATGTTGATACTTGTGATGTAGGTTTAACTTATGACATAATTGATGAATAACTATCTATGCCTATCATTGCTCTTTCTACTAACCCTTCTTGTAGTACTTCCACTTCCACCTCATCTAGTGGTGATGGTCTCACTTGTGATGCCTCACTAGTGGTTGAGAATGAGAATCTCAAGAAGGAGGTTAACAAGCTCACTCACACTTTGGCTAAGGCCTATGGTGGTGAGGATCGCTTGCTTATGTGCTTGGGTAGCCAAAGAGCCTCTCTCTACAAAGAGGGATTGGGCTATACCCCCAAGAAAGGCAAGGCATCCTTTGCTCCTCACAAGATTTGTTTTGTGAAGAACAATGATCGGTTTTGCATTGGTTGCAAGCAAGTGGGTCATAAAGAGCATGAATGCACCAACAAGAGCAAAAATGCTAATGCATCATCCCTTAAGCTTTATTCGTGCTATATGCTTACTAAGGGTACAAATAGTGTGAAGGCTAAGTTCATTGATAAACCATGGATGGCCTCAAAGAAGAAAGCCATTTGGGTACCAAAGAGCTTAGTGACTAACCTTCAAGGACCCAATCAAGTTTGGGTACCTAAAAAGAATTGATCTTCTTTTGTAAGTAAATTACAAAGCTGGAGGAAGGCATTGGGTTCTTGATAGTGGGTGCAC